CCCTGTAGAATAAAAAAAAACTTTAGCTGCAATTTTTTGTCACCCAATATTTTTAGGATAAAATACGCTAAAATGAAATTTAGTGTACACAAACAGAATATAATACCCATTTTTATAAAAAAAAACTGCAGTATCTAAAATTGGCCATTAGCCATCAGTTTAGTGTAACATTAAGTCAATGGCCCTAGAATAATTGCTCTCACTTCGACATTCAAATTGATAAGTAACGTGAGTGGCGCAATTGTCATTTTTGCACCTAGGTGCACCCAATGCATTTTTATGTGCATGTATGTGGGTTGGATTAAAAAAAATATTTTTTCTTAATTGTTTTTATAAGTGACTATTTTTAAAAAAAATTAACACTTAACTTTATTGCTATCACATAGGGGGCTAACAATGTGAAAGCAAAGATATAGTGGCAGGTCCACTTTATGGAGGCATCAGGGGTCTGTTAGACATCTAATGTCACCTTTAGACCCCAAAGAAGCTGATGAAACACAGATCATGCTTCATCAGCTTCCTATCTGGTCACTGAAGTGGGAGAAATACAGGTTGAAACCAGAAGTGAAGAAATACATGTCATTTCCGGTTTCAGTGATTGGAGGGGATATCAGCTGCTGGAATTGTGCTGATCTCCCTTTGATTGAGGCACACACACCTGACACCTGTTTCTGTGCCTGCACAGGGGACATCAGAGCTATTCTATCAGGGTAGAGGGGGTACACACTCCCCAGCTACATAAAAGCAATTGGGGGCTGCTTTATAGCTGCCCAAACCCTTGTATGTGACAGCCATTGCCGGAGGTACCAAGAGTTATACCAAGAGGGCCTGCAGCAGCTGTGGTCTTGGTATAACCACTTCAGGATTATGCTGTGTATATATGTATTGCAGTCCTTAAGTGGTTAAAAGAGTTTAGCATTTTTAATGTTGTCTTTTAGGTAATATTAAAAGAGCTGATCCCTGCTAAATGAAAATTTTTGAAAACATATTTTGCATTCATTCATGTCCCCCATAGCAGTGCCCAGCTACCCATGCACTTTGTTGGATTTTGGGGGGTCTCTATGCCATTTTTTACAAAACAAATTTAGCAGAGAAATGTAATTTACCGGGGTAAAAATGTATTTTGTAAATGTCAATTTTTGCTTTAGTACATCCTATGGGTACACCAATTCACAGCTTTAGGACATCCCTAAACAATTTATTTAAAGGAATTTTGCCTTTTTAATGTATTTTTTTTAAAGAGCTGCTCCAAGCTGAACAGTATTTTTTTTAGACAATATTTTGCATTGTCCCCCAGGGAAATGCCCAGCTCTCCATGCCCTTTGCTTGACAATTCTTATCAATCAAATTATTTTATGACTATGTTGACTGCAATATGGTTCTGATTAACATTCAAAATTCAGTCCAGTTCAGCCAATGTCACATGAACCAAAGCCAGGTGCATTGGCTCATCAATATTTGTGACTTATCATACAGCTTGACTGTGTTTTACATTGTATGCTAAATATATTGTTGTAGTTTATTCTGTCTAGTATTATTTGTGTCATTGTGTTGGTTGCATAAAGTGACCCTGTCAGCACAGGGTCACTTGTATAGAATTACATACAGTACCTCCTAAAAGAAGAGGCACTATACTTACCTTTCCAGTAATCCATTTGTTAACATGCCACCTCTTCACTGTTCACCAGCTGTTTCGGGTATTTGACCAGTCAGACAGGTTAAAACCTGTATGGCCCACCGCATGCTGTGATTCCTCTTGTATGTGTATCAATGAATACAAGGGGTTGCCTGATTAGATGAGGAATGGACTGCGACATCACAGCCCCTTGTCCAATCAGAGAATGTCTTCATTGATAAAAATACTAGGCCTTCTCTGAATGGCTGCTGTACCAAGCGAGTGACCTCCTGTATTTTCCGAACAGAGCAGGGAAGTCTTTCAGCTCAGTGCCATTTCAGGACCCAGAAGATTGCTGTAAAACACTGTAGTAGCTCATGCAACTACAGTGATTTATAGAATCCTCATGGACTGCTCAGGTATGACATATGCATATTTACAAGCTGGAGTAATGTAAGTATACATAAAAAGTTATACCTGATGCTCAGCTTTAACAATCCCCATTTTAGCATACATAGCATGTATATGTAGCATCCTTTCATACCAGACCCACCTTACTATTTCAATATTTTTTCTTATTGTTGATGTTACTGGAGCTTAAGATTGATTACTTTAATAAGTGCTAGTTATTTTAAATAAAAGCTTTGTGATTGCTGACATCAGGGAATAATGTAAGTTTAGTGACTTAATGCAGACACAGTTCAATGTTTGAGGTTGGAATAGCTATGGCTCTTATAGTAAGCATTTTGCAACTGCAATTTTGCTTCCAAGGCAATAAGACCACTATATTAGGGGAATCAAAAGATGACTGAATTGTCACTAAAACCTTTGACCGGGTCCCCTGATAATGCCATTGGTGTAATCCAGGGATCTAAAACTGGCGTTGGTGAGATATGCCTTTGATTATGTAAAATTTCTGTTACGGCTCCTTGGAGGGTAGCAGAAAATAATAGTACCTAGTCACTGTTACATACATAGAAGTGCCCTGCCTCATTCAATCAGTAATATAGACATGCCAGAGGTATTTTTTTTAACTAATGGTATTACCATATTAAAGTGTTTATAACTGTAACACTTTTCCTTAGTTTTGGATACATTGGATAAGGGTTAGAACCTTTGTTAATTGTTTTCCTGTTTGTAGTTCCGGTGTGGGCATTTACTCCATTTGTTTATTCTGCTTATCATTATCACTTAGATAGAAAGTGGTGGGGAAATCCAAAATGTGCAAGAGGTGAGAATAAATCATTCCAAGGGGACAAATGTTCCATTGACAGCTGTCTATGGTGGAAATTCCCTTCCTTTTTGGAAGATCCCCTCTCATTTCCTTTTGTGCCTTCAGGACATGAAGTAAAAGGAGATATCCCCAATAGCGCAAGGGTTTAAACCTTTGCCCGCTTTATCCAAAACGAAAAACAGTTTGGGCTTTACATACAGTACACATTATATTGTAATTATTAATGACTGTTAGACTTTATATTTTAAGTATAGGTTCATTTTAAGGAGTCATTTTTTAAGGCTAGCTTACGTGTTCAGTCAAAAGAATGGATTGCTGTTAGGGACAGTTTGCCACCAAAGAGTTTAACATCATACACAGAATTGAAAGTTTGAAGTTTAAAACTACTGTTGATACCAAGAAATAATGCATCCAACATGATAATCTCTGTGTCATCTCAGTGTGGCAGTCAGTGCTCTGACAGTGTCACATATGAAGTATAATTTGTGAAAAGATTCTTTTGACGGCATAGCAGGCATGAAAACAATGGTAAGAAAACTGTCATGTAGTTCGACTTTAAAAGAATATTAACCATGCAAGTAAATTTAATTAGCCGTATTAAATATAAAATATGCAATACTAAGTATACAAAATTAATAATAACCATTTACAAAATGGTTATTATTGAAGGCAAGACAATGAAATGAGATGCGTGAAAGGATTTTTAGAGGATCAAAATGTTGGATAAACTTTAAAAGTCATATATTCTTTTCTTCTTTGTCAAAAAAGCGGCAATATGTTTTTATCTTGCAAAATACTTTGGTGCTGCACCAGATAAAAAAAAGCACCAACTAAATAAAAACAATGATAATCATCTGAAAAGTGCTAATAAACCTTACGCATCCTAAATTTATGTTTGTAAATATGCAGTCTGAAATGTCTGCTTAGCTTACCATCATTATTTTTTAAAATCAATATTTATTAGACCCAAAAATTATTTTGTTAGGCATATATGCTAAGTAAAATTAAATTTAGATGGTCCATTGTCCTCCAATACTTTAAGATGTGCACCTGCATTTTTTACAATATTTTTTTTTTTTTTTGCTGAAATTATATCTCAAAGACATGTATTAAATTGCTTTCAAAGAAACAGTACATCATATTAGTAATTTAATTTTACTATTTCATAACTGTCTGACATACAATCCTACAAACCACCTTTACATTTTTGCTACAGCAATGCAAGCACAATGCATAATGAATTGTACTTAGGGAATAACAAATGTTAGTGCTGACCCCTATTGTTGGTATACGTATACATCTTTATGACATATGTATCATCTACTGAATATTTTTTCTTCCATTTATTCATTTTAGAAATAATTAGAATAAAAGAAAAGAAGAAAAAATATAAATAAGCACATTACCTAACTTAAGTTTTTGTGTGTGTGTGTGTGTGTGTGTGTGTCACTAAACTTTATATACATTAAATATAAACATTTTATAACATGTATAGTTATAACATGATTTATTTATAGACCAGCATAATAGCCCTAGTATATTACAGTGTGCAAAATATTTGTGTTTTGATTACATTAATTGTCCACCCTTGGATAAGATATGGCAGGGTACATTATATATAGTAACAACTTTAATGGTACTACATTTTCATTACAACATTGTGTTCTCTATTTTTAGGTTTGAAGTATTTTTGCAGGAAACAATTTCCTCTAATTTTATTTTTAAAAATGTGTTAGTGCTTATTTATTAATTTCTTCTATTTCAAATAATTTAACTTTGCCATTAGTATAGCAAATTATGTTGTTTATGAATTCAACATAAAAAAACAGGTTAGAAATATTAAATGATGTTAGATTGTGAGGATGTTACAAGCCATACTCTGCATTTGTTAATGGATTTTTTAGTAATGAATTGTTCCTACATTCGATTAGAATCAAATGTCATGGTAATGTTTGTAAGATCAGGTTCTTAAAATAATTTACTGAGTGGGATTAGATGATGCCCACAATTTGATGCACCAATATGAATGTCAAGCTGAATATTGCTACATGCACAGAGGCACCCATGCAAGCATCTTGTACCAGTGTTAGATCTACCCCAGCAAATAGTGGGACATGGTGCCCATGTGATAAAATAGGCTGAATCGTATACCTTGCTGCATGAGAGCTCCAACGCCAAACCAGAAACTATTTAGCAAGGTGAAATTGTTTTCCACAACATCTGAGTCAGGATTGCAAGGGTGTGGGTTATACCATTCATATGGGCTAAACCTGTGGCAAGTGAAGGAGAAAAGAATACTTTAAAGCAGCAGGAAGAATAGATATCCACCAACATTCACTGAAAAAGAACAGAAAACAAGGAGTTATATCACAATTTAAACAGTATTCTAAAGATAGTTAGTAGTAAGTATACACAATGAAAGCATTCATTTTGTAAAGACGTATGTGAATTTGGTATTTTTTTTAGATTTGTATATGATTTTATGCTTACATGTGGGTTGATTACAATTAAAAACTAGAAACTATGATATATTTGCATATGTTTACTGTAAAGAGAAGTCATAAGAAATCTTAAAAAATGACTCACCAAATATGAATTATATGCTTTAGTTATACGGATAAACAAATATAATAGAACATGTAACAGATGATATGGTCTAAGATGTAAAAGGTATGATGTAATCATTCCATTTGTCCACATTTTAATAAAATAAACACATACTATATGGACTCAATTAAAGTGCATATGTATAAATCAGTTTATGTGACAAACACTTACAGGTAAATCATCCAGTGGGTTTTATTACAGGGAATAATAATAATAATAATTAACCACCATTAAATGTTTGGGGAAAGTCACATCCAAGGATTTAATAAATATGCTAATAAATGCTGTAGACTTGTTAAATATTAACAAGATGATTTACTTATGCAGCCTAATTTCTGTGTTTGACTCCAAACAACCAAACACCAAGCTGGTTTTTTTTTTCTTTCTCTCAACTTATGTAGAAATTTGGATCACACTTGGTCAGCTGGCCTGATAAAGACAACATTGGGTTGATGTTTATTGGAAAAAATCAACACAACTATAGAAGTCTTAAATAATTTACATTTGGTTCAATATTGCTCGTAATTGATCCAAAATTTGATCATAAAGGTAAGGGTGGATAACAATCACACATTTCTGCTCAACATCCCTACCTGCTAAAATGACATGAGTATCACACTGAGATTGGTCATAGATTGAATAACTTTTCATGTGCTCAATAAAGATATGATGACTTATCCTCTGTAGTAGCCTTTCTCAACATTTTTACCATGGAGGAATCCTTGAATTAATTTGTAGATCTTGGGGGAACCTATATTAAAAACTACAATATCTGCCAGCTTACAGGACAGCATAAACAGTAGGCTGTAGATGTTTTAGAATAAACAAAGGGGTTTAATTCACTTTCCCCCTTCACTCTAAAAATAGTTTTTAGTAATGATCATTAACTGACAATAATAATAATATTCAAACAGCGCAAACCCCCTAGCATAGAAATCCCATAGTAGGAGCCCTCCAATAATTAGATATTCAAGTATAATATAAAGTGCATCCAAACATATTTATTTAAACATTGCAACACATAAAGATAAATCACCTCATTACATTTAAAACTTATTTAAAAATCGCATAGCTTCCCTGAAGTGACTCAATGTGGGACAGAAATAAACAGGGTTGAAATACCCGCAGGGCAGAGCAGCAGTCATTGATATGAACGGATACACCGTTATAAGGTGGTGGATACTAATGTATCAGCATATGATGATAGGATTACTCACTTGATCCTCACTTGTGGCCACAAGGGAAAGAGTCCGTACTTCTATTATAGATATTGCAGTGGTATTCTTAGTAAAGGTTTTTTATTCAAAAAACATTTGTAATCCTGCTGATCGCTTAAATGTTTCCATTTAAGCTGATCGCTTAAATGTTTCTGAGGAAGCCCCGTTTGGTTTCTTTTCTTAGCGTTACTCCTTTTTCCCCCGTTTTTGCAATAATAATAATAGTTTGTTAAGTGACCTTTTACATTGTGGCCTTGGAGTACATAACTGTATTCAGGAGATCAGCACTTTTCTCACCTCAGGAAACCCCTGTCAACAACTGGAGAAAACACATGTTTCCTTGGAACCGTGGTTGAGAAAGACTACTCTATTGGATTGCTAGCAATTTATGACAACGGCAGAAATCAAAATAAGTTTGCGAGTTGTTGTCATGTTTGAGAAATGTTATCTTTAGAAAAACAGAGAGATCTTTAGAAAAACAGAGAATTTCAGTTCAAATGATATTTAGCAGCATTCAAAGCACAAATGATACAAATAGCCATTCACCTTGTAAGCATAAGTTATTGCAAAGGTTTTTTTTTTACTATCGCTGTTGGCTTATGACCATCCTAATGATCTTTCAAGAGACTGACCCATGTAAAAGACTGCCTTACTGAAATGTAAACTCTATGTATTTCTCTATGAAATAGCAAAATATGAGCTTAATATTGTGCCTTCTACCCATCATTTAGTTGGAGACAAGAAATAATGATGATCTTGGACATTAGGGAACAATGGGAAATGTTCCAATGGGTCAAATAGTAATCCCATTTATTACCAGGATGTAAACCAATATGGTCACTAGGTATGAACCAATAAAATTGACCAAAAAATGTTGTCCCTTACCATCAATTCGAAAATATGTAAAAAGCCCAACTGAAGTGCTACTTTATTTACTTTACTTGAGACCAAGGTAAAGAATAATACATTATTTAAAAAAAACTATGTTCATGTTCTCTACTAAACAGTGCACTAAGCTGCCCTGTGTTGGGATCACACTGGAGAGCTCGACTAATGCTCTTACACAGATGTCCAGGGCTCCAGCTGTTCAACACACCTCCTGAATAGTACAACAATCAACCTCACTGCTCATGGAGTATGATCATTGTTGATTTTAGTGGCAGAGGCCGGGAGGGGGGGCATATTTGACTGCATAACAATAAAAAAATCGAAACTTCAATTAAACTTTATCTGGAGACTGCTTTAAACTCTGCAGATGTATGCATTTCCAATTGATGCAATATCACATAGACTGTAGACTGACAACATGCTTTTTCTTCACCTTTTATTAGTAATGTAACACTTAAACATATACATTTATGAGTAAAGTCAGACTACTGTTCTTTTTTTCTGTGTATTGTATTTTCAAATAGTTTACCACTGGTGTCTCTCATAGTTGTAAATATGAGCAAATTGGAAATTAATACTTATCCCCACTTCAAACATAAAAGATAAGCCTTACTGTATGCGTGCAATAAAACAATTTAGGACAACAGAGTAAAAGACAGTGACTAATTAAAGATCTTTGAAAGTCTAATTACTTTGCTAATGACACAGTGTTTTCTCCCCAACTTCTTCAATTTTAAAAGCCACTTCGGAACTGAAATGCTATTCATTCGCCTCAATTGTGTGAATATCTTTCATTTAATCAAAACTATTTGAATAGGGTTTCTGTCACTTCAGAGAATTCAATTGTCTTTACTATATTCTTTCCAAGACATTAACATTCAGAGGATCAAACACTCCATTTGCACTATACTAATACAATATTAGAACACCTCCTGTCTTAAAAGCCTGTACTTGAAAAACAAAGAATTTTCATTTCACACTCTATAGATAAACTGTCATATTGTTCACAGGGCTGATTAGGAAGGTTATAATTAAAAATATATGACAAAGAATATGACCCATTTTATTTGTCATTGTGATAAGGCTCATGAAAGTTTATTTTATTCTTAGGCTTTTCAGATTTGACTTAATGCTAAAAGTTATGAAAACTGCAATACTCTGCAATGATTTCTCTAGAGAGTGGAATGTTGAAACAATTTACTGCAGCTCAAGTCTACCATACTGAGGAAATAAAAACCAATATGCATTTAGATTCAGAAAAGTGACTGGAAAATACAGAATGACCGTGACAGAAGTCTATATAGCCCAATCTATACTACATATGCAGTAAAGACATAAAAAAATATAAAAAAAAATAAACATTTTATATTTGTATATACACTGTATTGCCAAAAGTATAGGGACGCCTGCTTTTACACACACATAAACTTTAATGACATCCCAGTCTTAGTCCGCAGGGTTCAATATTGAGTTGACCCACCCTTTGCCGCTATAACAGCTTCACCTCTTCTGGGAAGGCTGTCCACAAGGTTTAGGAGTGTGTCTATAGGAATGTCTGACCATTTGTGAGATCATGTACTGATGTTGGACGAGAAGACCTGGCTTGCAGTCTTTGCTCTAATTCATCCCAAAGGTATCCTATCAGTTTGAGGTCAGGACTCTGTGCAGGCCAGTCAAGTTCCTCCACCCCAAACTCGCTCATCCATGTCTTTATGGACCTTGCTTTGTGCACAGGTGCACAGTCATGTTGGAACAGGAAGTGGCCATCCCCAAACTGTTCCCACAAAGCTGGGAGCATGAAATTGTCCAAAATGGCTTGAAATGCTGTTGCCTTAAGAGTTCCCTTCACTGGAACTAAGGGGCCAAGCACAACCCCTGAAAAAACCCCCACACCATAATCCTCCCTTCACCAAACTTTACACTTGGCACAATACAGTCAGACAAGTACTGTTCTCCTGGGAACCACTAAACCCAGACATGTCTATCAGATTGCGAGACAGAGAAGTGTGATTTGTCCCTCCAGAGAACACGTCTCCACTTCTCTAGAGTTCAGTGGCAGCGTGCTTTACACCAGTGCATATGACGCTTTGCATTGCACTTGGTGATGTAAGGCATGGATGCAGCTGCTCGGCCATGGAAACCCATTCCATGAAGCACTCTATGCACTGTTGTTGTGCCAATCTGAAGTTTGGAGGTCTGTAGCTATTGACTCTGCAGACAGTTGGCGACTTCTGCGTACTATGCGCTTCAGCATGCGCTTGCCCTGCTCTGTCATTTTACGTGGCTTACTACTTTGTGGTTGAGTTGCTGCTGTTCCAGTGCTTTCACTTTGTTATAATACCACTAACAGTTGACCATGGAAAATTAAGTAGCAAGGAAATTTCACGTAACACCTGAATCCAATGATTTGGAGGGGTGCCCCAATACTTTTGTCAATATAGCATATATGACATTATAAATATATAATTATATAAAATGTATAATTAAAATTATATACAGTATATATATAAATGGCAAACGCACTCATCAACTGTTTTTAATCTTAGCGGTTACACAGT